TAATAAGTGCGGGAGGGCATTATTTCCCTTGTTAAATAGTAAATCGAAATTGAACCACAAAAACAAAATATTGCTTTACAAAGTTAAAATAAGGGTTATTGTTGGGCTTTTCTTAAAATTTTTAAGTTTTTTTCCTATCTTTTTTCCCTTACGATCTTAATAAAATATAAATAAGTTGTATATCTCGTCATTAAAGTAAAAATTCAAAACATGTATATTTAAATATTGAATATATTTTTAATGTAATGATAGTAAAATAAATAAATAAAAAAAAAATACATTGATTTAAACAGCTTAAATCTATTACAATTCCATGTTTTATTGAACATTACAAACGCCATTTTCTTTATATTTTTATAGCGCTTAGCGATATTTAGTAATTTGCATGTATGCATGTGTGTAAAAGATTTAAGAATTTTCAAAATAAATATATATAATTTTGTTCTACACAAATTGATAATGCAACTAGTTAAATACGGTTAAAGCGCTTTTAGGGCAGGACATAGTATGGGAGATATGACCAATTATAGACCGATCGTAAAAAATTCTTTAAGCCAAATTTCTGTTCATAAAGCTATATTTCAGTCAAATTTTGTATCTATATCGTAATTTAGTAATAAGTAATGTGTGTTTAAGTGATTTTCTGAAGGGAACCTTGTATGGGACCGACCGCACCCATGTTATGAACCGATCGTGAAAAAATCTTGAAATAGAATTTTTGTATACAAAATTAATATTTGGGCCAAATTTTTTATCAATAGCTTCATTTGGTAATGAGTAATGTGCGTTTAAGAGATTTTCGTAAAAGGACCTTGTATGGGAGCTAAGACCAATTATGTATAAAGAAAAAATTTCAAAATTCTGTATCTATATCACTAATTGGTAAAGAATATTGTGCATTTAAGTGATTTTCTGTAGGGGACCTAGTATAAGTGCTATGACCAAATATGGACCGATCGTAAAACAATTTTATAGTTTAATTTATGTATATAAGAGCAATATTTTTTCTAAATGTATGGATATCAATATTTTGTAATGAGTTATGTGCGTTTAAGTGATTTTCGGGAGGGAACCTTGTATGGGAGCTATGACTAAAGTTGGACCGATCATTAAAAAAATGTTCAAATAACATTTCTGTGTACAAAAATAGTATTTATGCCAAATTTTTTTGGGTATCACTATTTGGTAATGAGTTATGTGCCTTTAAGTGTTTTTCTGAAAGCGACCTTGTATGGGAGCTATGATCAATTATGGACCGATAGGAAAACAAATTCACTGCAAAATTTCTCTGTATATGAGCAATACTTGTGCTTGTGAATATCTTAATTTAGTAATGAGTTATGTGCGTTTAAGTGATTTTCGGGAGGGGACCTTGTATAGGAGCTATGAGCAGTTATGGACCGTTCGGAAAAAATTTCACAGTAATATTTCTGTGCATATGAGTAATACTAGTACCAAATTTTATATGGATATCTTAATTTAGTAGTGAGTTATGCGCGTTTAAGTGATTTTCGGGAGGGGACCTTGTATGGTAGCTATGACCAATTATGGACCGATGGAAAAAAAATTTCACAGTAATATTTCTGTATATGAGAGCAATACTTGTATATTTCTGTATATGAGAGCAATACTTGTATGGATATCTTAATTTAGTAATGAATTATTGTATGGGAGCTATGTCCAATTATGGACCGATCCAGAAAATTTTTTCTCTGAATGAATTCTATTGGCATAAGATTTTAATAAAAATTTCGACATTGTGACGGAATTTATTAACAAAAAACCCATTTCCGGGAATATGTACTTTTGTATGGGAGGTATATGAAATTGTGGACCGATTCTGGCAATATTCAGCAGGAATCAAGCTCTTGTGTAGAAACGTATGTATGGTGATTTTCATGGAATTATCTCGAGAAAATTACATCAGAATGTGTAAAAAATGCTTATTTTTTTCGAGGTCGTTTCAAATTTTGATTCATAACTTTTCCCGGTGTGAACCGATTTTGCTCATTTTCAATACCAAATTGCCTAGGACAATAGTAAATATTTTTATGAATTTCGTTAATTTTTGTTGCTTTGAGATTACATCACAAATTTTTTGCCAATTTATAAAGCTATAATTCTAATATGTACTATCTAGTTTGGTAAAACTATGTAGTTAGGTAAAACTATTTAACTTAGGAGAGAGAATAATTCTTGCTTCATATAATGCTGAAGGTCTCCTTATAAAGAAACTCCTTACAATTTCTTTGTGATCTTATTAAGCTATAAAAGAGATTACATTGAATTTGAACAATATTTATAAAAGGTACCAACACAGTACCAAAAATACTACCCATACTACCCTCTTTCTCCATTGAATTATTCAAATTTATGTATTTTGTTTAATATATTTTGTATCATTTCAGAAATCGATGTTGTAGAACATTTATTAAGAAAATCACGGCAGAGAGGAACCTTTCCCTCGCACGCAAAATATTTTATTTTGTTTTGCAAAAACATTTTATGACCGATAACGGAAAAATATTAATAAAAAATATATTTCTCAAATTTCATAAAAGTACAAAAAATGTAGCAAAGGAACACATTTAGCCGCTTTTGCCCGTTTAGTTTGAATTTCTTTTTCCTGTTTTTCCCTCTAGGAGTGGACTTTCCAATACACATATCTCTGAAACTAAAAACTCATCGTCTAAAATAGTTTTACTTTAGAACGAAAAATAAACAGACTTAAAACATAGAAGTAAAAATTTTTTTTCGCCTAACATAATACATATTTCAGACACTTTAAAGCAGTCAAGAGCAGAATTGCGATTCGAATACTCGCGTGTATAGGGCTGAAAATTATGCTGACGTTTCGTTGGCACACGTACACAATAAGCTTGCGTGTATTGGTGTGTCTGTGTTTAAGTGAAATGAAAACTTGTTTGTTGTTTTGTTTTAATACACATAGCAAAATGTTTGATGTTAATTGGGAAAATTGTTTTTTGTATAAAAAATATGGATGGTCAAAAATAATTGTTTAATTATAAAAAACATTTAAAAAGAAATGAAAGAGAATTATAAATTTTTATAGATAATATTCATTATTTATAAAAATATTTAGTTTTTCATGAAATTACATTTTGTTTTTCCACGCTTTATTGTTTATGTACATTGAAGGTGTATTTTCACGCAAAATATTTTATTTTGTTTATGAACAACTTTTTGCAGTGTACAAATACTAAATGTTGACTTGAATACGGTTCTCTGCTGCTTAATACACACAATAAATACTTGATAGTATGTGTCTGCCCACCACTGCTTTAAAGGCTAAATTAGCAATGTTTTTGCTTGAGTATAGACAATAATTAGTATTTACTCTCAAAAGTACGAATTTTGTCCCTTTTTCATCCACATACCCCTTATTGTCCCTTCTTATCCAAGTTTTGGAAAACAATATAGCCTATCACACCATACACCTATATATCTAACTATGTTTCAAATTTAAAGAAAATCGTTCCAGCCGTTTAAGTGTAATTCAAACATTGTGCGCACGATACAGGTCGCAATTTGCAATTTGATGAAATTTGGCACATACTCTTGCAAGGACGAATCCTATTGAAAATGGTTAAAATCGGACCATTATTTCGCATAACCCCAATACAAACGCACCCCTGAATATTGCTTTTGAGCTCATAAATATGTTAATTATTCTTGTATCACATCAAAAATCGGCAAAACTTAGTTTTATATAAGTTTTAATGACACAGCTGATTTTCGTAATGATCGGTCCTCATTTGATCACATCCCCTATATAAAGCCCCCTCATAAAAGGACTTGATGGTTCAAATTCACTTATAGACACAAAAATTACAGCGATATTCTACATAAATAACTTTAACGTAGACGTAAATCGCTTTACAAAAATTTATAAGGATAGGCCCTCATATAACCCTCTTTTAGAAAATCCCTTTTTTGTCAATAAATTGTTAAAATATTTCTGAATTAAGGTAAAAATTAATTTAAATGCTTTATTATTAAAAAAGTTGTTGTAGGGCATCATATGGTCGGCCATGCCCAACTATAATTTTTTACGTTTATTTATTTGTTTTATTTATTAATTGAAGTAGTTTGAATTGCCTGAAAATATGCATTAATTGAGTCCCTTTACGCAGCAAATACAGATTTCCCTTTTTTACCCGTTTTTTTCCCTAAGACTGGGGTTTCTAAATATATAGACATATTTGTGAGACTCTCAATATCAAAGTTTATAATATTTTGGATTTAGAATAGAAAAAAATCCTTAAAGCACAAAATTACTAATTTTGTCGGATTTTCGCCATTTGGCCTATTTTTTGCCCCCTTCCGGTCCAATTTTCGTAACGGCACTTTGCTAATATATATTTCTAACAAAGCTTAATCGAAAATGCTATTGCTTAATGATAGACAAAATCAGTATTTACTATCAAAAGTACTCATTTTGCTCGTTTTTCACCCATTTTACCCCCTCCTAGTCCAAGTTCTGAAAAAAATATAGCCTATAACACTAGATCTAACTTTGTTCCAAATTTGAAGAAAATCGGTCCAGCCGTTTAGGCGTGATTGACAAACAAACAAACAAATAAACAAACGATGAGACTTACAAAGAGATTTATAATATATATTAGGATTAAAATAATACTATATTTACTATCATAACTTAGGCCGGAATATACAATTCTGTTTTTTAGGTGCCATCATTTAAAATTACACTAACTGAAAAACAAAGTTAATGAAAACAAGTTAGAGTGCTATATTCGGCTGAGCCGAATCTTAAATACAGTGTTGCCAACTCGTGGTGACCAAAAATGGCTAAAACCGTGTAAAAAAATGGCTAAAAAATGGCTGAAAAATGGCTAAACAATTTTAGATAATAAAACACATACATTTTATTAAAAAACATCAAAAACGATAAATTTTTTTTATTTTTTACAACTATGTTGTAAATAGGAGATCATTCTTATTTGTACAAAAAGTTAGCATTAAAAAAATAAATCGTCTATAAAATCTGGGATATTATTATTTTTGTCATAAGACTCACTGGTACCAACTAGTTTTAAATAATTATTCGGTACGTCGTATTCAAAACAGCATTTATCGATTCTTTTAAGTCCAAATCTGCAAAATAAATAAAAATTAATTACAATGGAGTCATTATTTTTAGCACCCTTACCTGATAGACAAAATCGAAGTGACGGTTGATAGATGCATTTTATTTCTTAAGTAAGTTTTTACAAGATTTATTTGGCTGAAAACCCTTTCAACTTCTGCATTTGACCAGGGTAGTGAAAGTAGTTTCAGTACAAATTCCGAAATTTCGTTAAACTTTTTATTTCCGCCGGCATCTCTATATTTATATACTTCCGTCCAAAATGAAATAGTGTTATTTGTGTTTTTCCATTTTATATAATGGATATTTGAGTATTGCTCCTGAATTTTTAAGGATATTTCGTCATCAACATGAAATAAATTTAGGATTGGTAAAATATCCTCTTTAGAAGATTTTAAGACGTTATCTACAGAGAAATATTCAATATTTTGAAGTATTTTAATATTATCGGGCAACCTGCAAAATAGTGAGAGTAATTCAAATTTTAATTTAAAATAATATTTATGAATTGATATATACAAACCTTTGTTTCAATTGATTAATGAGATCAACAACAAATTTAACACAATTTCGTCTAATTTCACGTTCTGCCTTCTTTTTCATGCTTCCGTTTTTTTTAATTTCCTTAAGATATGTTTCAAACTCATGACCAAGGCTGCATGTGTATAAAATAAATTCGTCGAAATCTGAATATAAAACGTCTACACTGTCGTCACCAACTACTTTGCGTTTCAAAAAATTTATCAGCAATAATAATTCCTTTAATAGGCGAGTTGGATCGTTATCATGGCCTTGAAAAATTTTGTTAACTAGTTGGACTTCAAGTAAAATTCAAAAATAACAAATATAGACGAATATTGTCTTCGTTGTATAATTCACATAAGATTTTAGCCTTTAGACATTTTTCTTCCATGTATGCTGTTTCGAAATGCACTTTGAGCTCCTCCCATTGCGACAATATTCTTGAAACTGATGTTTCAATGGATAACCATCTAGTATCCGAAGTTTTTGGAATTTTTAATGGGTCCTATAAAAAACCATATACATACATATTTAACAATATAGAAAATTTTTTAAAGTTATTAGCTTTTACCTTTTCATTTAGATTTTTGTACAAATTTTTGTAAACAACTTGTCTCTTGGAACTTTTTGAGAACCAGCTGTAGGTTTCAAAAACAAGGAATTCTAATTGCTCAGGTAAATATTCTTTTAGAGACTGGTTCACAGCCAGCTGAAGAGAATGGCACACACATTTAACAAGAACAAGTTGGGGAATATCCTTTTTTAAAGCAGTATAAACGCTTTTATTTTTCCTACCATAACATTTGCGTTATCGGTTGCTATGCCAACTAATTTTTCAGTTTTTAAATTAAATTTTCTAAGAGCATTTTTAACACCAATAACAATATTTTCAGCAGATCCACTTTCCAACTCTTCTATTGATAAAAATGTGGATACAATTTTTCCCAAATTGCTGCTAAAATAAATTAATGCCAGACCTAAAATAAAAACAACTAAAACTCCGAAAAAAATAAAATTTATATAAACTTACCCAATACTTTTGTTAAAGCGACATCACACGATTCATCTATTAAAATACTGAAATATCCTTCACCAATATCTTTACGCAGTTCATCGTCAAAGTGGGGGCCAAGAACATTTTTTATTATATTGGTGCACTTAGTTCTATGAAGTTTTAATGATGAGCATTCCAGTCGATTTTTGCAGACTTCTCCCAAATGATCGACAGTTGAAATTGAAGCATGTACTGCTGAAAACATACACAATGAAGCCTCCTGTTGTTGTATTTTCAAACTGACTGGTTTAAAGGGCAGTTGGTTGGTAGAACCAATGCGTTCAACTGCATTGATATGTTTTTTACTCTCTGCGTGAACATTCAGCACATATAACTTTGCGTTTATTTCGCATTTACAATATTTACAATAAGCTTTCTCTGGATCTTTACATTCACTGATCCATTCTTTCAACTTGGGATTATTAATCCATTCTTTTCGAAACTTTTGAGTATATTTTTTCTCCATTTTGTGCACTTTTTTGGCTTAACTTTTACTAGTTAATAAATTTTATCAGATGTAACTATTAAAAAAATAACACTGTTGCATTTTTTGACAATAATAAAGTGTTACATTATTGCAATTTTGAATAATAAGAGCGATTTAATTCTAGCGATTCCGTGAGATAATTTTTATGAATATTTTTAGTAAAATTTTTGCTAAAATATGAATATGGCTAAAAATGGCTAAATGAAAATAAAAATGTCTAAAAAAATGGCTAATGGCAAAATTTATTTTTTGATGGCCAAACCAGGTTGAAATGTGCTAAATTTAGCCATAAAATGGCTAAATTGGCAACACTGCTTAAATACCCTCCACCAGCTACTTTTATATTAATACTTTTCTAATTGATCAAATATTTGTAGAAATAAGTTTTCTCATGTCTTGAATAGAAAAAATACAAAGATTTGAGTTGTTTGCTGGCTCTCTCAGCATTCAGAAGTGTTTCTATAACCAATCAGCTGTTGCTTTTATTGATCATTATTCTAATTTTTATACCCTCCACTACCATCAGTGGTGATAGAGGGTATGTATAACTTTGTCATTCCGTGTGTAACACCAAGAAATATTCATCTGAGAACCAACAAACATATATATTCTTGGACCTTATGAAAATCTGAGTCGATGTAGCTATGTCCGTCCGTCTGCCTGTCTGTCTGTCTGTCTGTATAAAACATTCTCACGTTAACACGAAGCAACAAAAATTAACGTAATTCACCCAAAATATTTACTATTGCCCTAGGCAGTTTGGTGTTGAAAATAAGCAAAATCGGTTCACACCGGGAAATGTTATGAATCAAAATTTGAAATAACCTCGAAAAAACTAAGCATTTTTTACACATTCTGATGTAATTTTCTCGAAAACTATGCAAGATAATTTCATGAAAATTACCAAACATTCGTTTCTACACAAGGGCTTGACTCCTGCTGAAAATTGCCAGAATCGGTTCACAATTTCATATACCTCCCATACAAAAGTACATATTCCCGGAAAACCGGTTTTTTTTGTTAATAACTTCCGTCACAATGTCGAAATCTTTACAAATTAAAATCTTATGTGAATCGAATTCATTCAGAGAAAAAATTTTCTGGATCGGTCCATAATTGGACATAGCTCCCATACAAGGTCCCCTCCCGAAAATAACTTAAACGCAAATAATTCATTACTAAATTAAGATATCCATATAAAATTTGGTACAAGTATTGCCCTCAGATACAGAAATATTACTGTGGAATTTTTTTTCCATCGGTCCATAATTGGTCATAGCTCCCATACAAGGTCTCCTCCCGAAAATCACTTAAACGCGCATAACTCATTACTAAATTAAGATATCCATATAAAATTTGGTATAAGTATTGCTCATACGCAAAGAAATTTTACTGTAAAAGTTTTTTTTGATCGCTCCATAATTGGTCATAGCTCCCATACAAGGTCCTTTTACGAAAATCTCTTAAACGCACATTACTCATTACCAAATAAAGCTATTGATAAAAAATTTGGCCAAATATTAATTTTGTATACTATTCTATTTCAAGATTTTTTCACGATCGGTTTATAACATGGGTGCGGTCGGTCCCATACAAGGTTCCCTTCAGAAAATCACTTAAACACACATTACTTATTACGAAATTACGATATAGATACAAAATTTGACTGAAATATAGCTTTTATGAACAGAAATTTAGCTTAAAGAATTTTTTTACGATCGGTCTATAATTGGTCATATCTCCCATACTATGTCCTGCCCCTAAAAGCGCTTTAACCGTATTTATCTAGTTGCATTATCAATTTGTGTAGAACAAAATTATATATATTTATTTTGAAAATCCTTAAATCTTTTACACGCATGCTTAGATGCAAATTACTAAATATCGCTAAGCGCTATAAAAATATAAAGAAAATGGCGTTTGTTATGTTCAATAAATCATGGAATTGTAATAGATTTAAGCTGTTTAGATCTTTGTATTTTTTCTATTCAAGACATGAGAAAACTTATTTCTACAAATATTTGATCAATTAGAAAAGCATTAATATATAAGTAGCTGGTGGAGGGTATCTAAGATTCGGCTCAGTCGAATATAGCACTCTAACTTGTTTGGAATTAAATTGAAAATGTCTTCAAAACAAAAAATATACTGGGGTATATCTTCAAAAAATCAAAACCCAGCAGTAATAGGTATCAGATATTTTCTGACCTAGAGGGTAATGATATTTCCAGTGTGGAAAGCGATGCTAAGACAGAGGAGATTATTAAAATTCCTCCTATTACAGCGGATATTTCTCATAGCTTCATCACAATCATTATAATGTTAGGAGACTGCTGTAAATACAAAAGGATTTCAATTGGAACAAAACTAATTCCTAATTCGCTGACCGTTTACGAGGAAATATGCAAAAAGTTAAAGACTAATCAGTATAAATTTTTTACTCACCCTCTTAGAGGAAATAAACAGTTTAAATTAATGTTGTTTGGTTTACTACAAATCAACATTGTCACCATTAAAGATGAATTAAAAAACGCGTTTAATATAGAACCTGTTAACATAAAGGAAGTTATAACCTCTAGCACCAATCCAAATGATGCTCTGTACATGGTGGAATTTAACAGGGATCAAATTACAAATCGAGAAGTGTTGAAAATAAAATACGTTTTGGGAATCGTTGTACATTGGAGAAATCCTATTCGATACAATAGAGGAACCACGCAGTGCACAAAATGTGCTATGTATGGCCACGGTTCAGCAAATTGTTTTAGAGCGGTTGCATGTCTTGGTTGTGGTGGATCTCACGATTACTCTAACTGCCAGCTAAACAAAACACCGACAGATGGTCCCGTCATCTATATGTTTCAATTGCATCAAGAGAAACTTAAAGAATGTGAATCATCGTGCTGACGACCCACATTGTCCATCTAGAAAGAAATACCTAGATATTCGAAGCAGAGTTATCAACAAGATGCGCCCTACTAGATTGAGAAACAACAGTAATATGGATATCTACACAACAGATGATGAAAACTTTTCCCCTGTAAACAATGACATGCCATCATCCTCATAAAAGGTAAAATTAAAAAAATTTCTTATGCCGATATTATCAATTCTAGCAATAGAAAATCTGACGATAACGATAATCTGTCAAACCAAAAAATTTTAGATATATATTTCGAAGCTATAGATACTTTAGAAAAATGTAAGACTAAGTATGATAAACTTAGGGTGCTCGGAAACATGCTCAGACATGTTATCTAATATAACGCTATATTACAATTAGAACAAGTTTTATATCAAAAACAAATAGATGTTGTATTTATAAACGAAACTTTTCTAAAACCAAAACACAAATTCAAACTAGTAAATTATAAAGTTTATCGAGAGGACAGGCTGACGCACGGTGGTGGAGATTTAATAGCAATAAGAAATTCAATTTCTCATGAACAAAATTCTAAATATTTAACTTCAAATATGGAAAATATCTCCATTACAATAAAAATAAACAATAGAAATGTAAGATTTTCCTTGGTTTATTGTCCAAAATATACAAGTACATTTGTTGCTGATCTTAATATTATCACCCGAGGTACGACAGACTTTTTTATATTTGGTGACTTCAATGCGCACCATACCAGTTGGAATTGTCAACAAAATAATGCTGCCGGTAACACCTTATACAATCACCAACTTAACTCTAATTATTATATATACTCTCCGGATTCTTTTACCTGTACCCCGTTTCTGTAACTTTGAGTGAGAAGTTCTCACATCGAGAAGTGTGAAACAAAAAATTTCATCGTTTCTCGATTTGTGAGTAAAAAATGTTTCTGTAACTTAAAGTGAGAAGAGGCTGCACGAATTACGTTTTTATTGGAAATTTCCAATAAAACAGCTGTCAAAAACATAAAAATTAAAAGAAGAAAACAAAAATTGCCGAACAAATTTATAAACGAAGAATAAATAAACAAAAAATATAGAAATTAAATGAAAATTGTTCGAAAAATTATCCCACTAAATTTGCCCTTGGCAAATTCTAAGTTTATATCCACGTACTTTTTTAGCATTTGCTTCTGTATATCCGAAATTCCTCCTATTTTCTAAAAATTAGTGAACAATATTTATTTTAATATTAAATAATTATAAATATAACATTACTTTTTCATTGTTTCATATAATTCATGTTTAAATTAAATTTTATTTACTTAAAAATTTCCTTTCCGCACCGTTTTAAAATGTGAGTTTTTTTGACAGTTCATGTGAGAAACTTCTCACAAAATTTTCTTACAGAAACACTTTTACTCACAAATTTCCAATAACTTAAGTCAAAAAACATAAATGACAGATAGTTCTCACAAAATTTTCTTACAGAAACACTTGCATGTGAGAAATGATATTTTGTTTCAATTCACATTGTTTTTTCTTCAATTCCACTGTTTCATGCGAGAAACTTCTCGATGCGAGAGTTACAGAAACGAGGCACTGTTTTGGCCAATCCTCATCTCACACACAGCCATCAGTGGTTGATATTCTCCTTACAAACTCCATTCTAAATATTTCACAAATTAAAACACATCCAGAATTATTGAATTTAGATCACGTTCCAATCACTTGCAGAGTCTTTGGTTCTGTAATTGAAAAAACATCACTAGTCCCCTTGTATAATATGGCCAACTGAAAGGAAATTGCGAAATTTGTAGTTAATGAGCTCAGAAATATCAGCTTACTGACTGCAGACTTATCGTGCACATTTATCGAACAAACTCTCTCTAAGATCACACACGTTGTTCAGGAAGCCTCCAAAAAGCAGCAATGGCAAAGAAAATTATCTCAAAATAGTTTGTTTTTTTTAATTGGCCAAAGAAATAGATACAGAAGAAAACTTCAGAGAACGACAGTTTCATCAGAGAGGAACTTTATAATCTATATATGTATATAAAAGTAGCGTTACTGACTGACTGATTCATCATCGCACAGCC